TTTTTCTACACTATTGTTATTTTGTGCCAACAATGGCACTATTTGGACCTATGACTGAGAAGCTAGAAATGCATCACTGCACTAGACCCTATTTTCTCAATCCCTAAAATACCGTTTTAGTTGTTTATAGTGGTCCCATTTCGTCAGGCTTTCTGAGGAAACGTGGAAGTCACTTCAAAAATCAGCGCCTAGTCAGTACAGACGGAGGGGGTCACATCACACCACCGCCTTTACACAAGCATCACTCCTACTTCAGAGTTTGCCGGTTAACCCATTTTTTATCCCTTTTATGGTTGAATGTGGAGAAATTTTAATGGCGTTATTCGCCACCCTCACCCCCCCCCCTCAGTCTTGGCAGTCAGTGGAGCAAAAAGGGGTAACAGAGATGTGGGCGAAGTGAGAACTTTGTGATGAGTCAACTGTAGAGATTTCGGATTGCCCTCAATAAATTATTTACTCGTAGCCGTGGTTTCCGATGGCATTCAATTCCCAAAACATATTTCCTAATTAAAAAGTAGAATCAATAACTTTAGAAATGCTTACTTTCTTAGAAAAAACTTCAGAGAAACCTCAGCTCTGGCGACTTTAGCAAAAGGTCGATTGGAAATAAAAGCTGTAAATAATTGTCTTCCATTTCCATAGACTTAAGACCTTGTAAGCTTTTCTGTCATTCATCCATCCTTGACTTGCACACTAATAGCTCATCTCTGTTTAGCCTTCTCTGTATCGCCTACAACACCGATGGCAGACTTACCGCATAGTGCAGCTCTCCACTTGGAATACACCAAGGAAACTTAAATTCGCGTGTCAATCTTAATGGCAAATTAAAATCTAGTAGGTGGTTCTGCAAATTGCACACTATTCTGCTGTCAGAGTGGGTGGGCAATCGAGAGGTCACGAACTGCTCCAATACAAACCAAATGTACTGCTAGGGATCACTTAGCCGTAAGTCGTCTTATAAAATTTCTTTCAGGATTTGTCTCCTTTTGGAAAAAAATGTGAACGGATAGAAATTTACATGCACTGGATAAATAATGCAAGGACATCTTTACGAGTTGATAAGATCTGTCCATATTTTCGTGATGTCTACTGATGATAAACGGCAAGTAAACAAAAATGCGTATGACAAATGCCAAGTGGAAATTTTTTCTAGCAATTCCTACACAGTTATGGCCAGCGGATTTCGCATGGTTTAAAGAAGAAGGAAAAAATGTGCCTTGACGGAGGAGTTAAGCAGAGCAGGCACATTGATGATTGAAAGTTCACAAGGCTGGGGATGAGCTTCGCCATCCTCTGAAATATGTCCCTCCGACCTAAAATATTTACCTCTACTTTGGTTCGTTGTTCGATGTTCCCAATGCGGCTGCAAATTTTCAAAGGGGCTGACATTGAGAGAAGTCGGCTTGAATTAATCGCTACAAATACGGAGAGCTTTGGCAGAATTGAGCTTTTTAGATTGTATGAGCAACTTACAAACTACATTCAGACCTGTGAATGGGGAAGAATTTTTTGCAGTTCACACCATCGGGTTAGAAGTGTGAAGAGTAGAATTTTCGTGGGTCAGGAGGCTGTTGCAGGGTGTGCCTCTGCTTAATGCTGAGGCGTACATTATGCTTGAGAAATTGTTCCGGATTTGTCCGGCGCCATTCTGACTGGCGTCATGGGGAGAATTCGTGACTCTGCCACACTGTCAGGTTATGGCTTCGTTTGTGTGTGTGTACGGCTGTCGGAAATGCTTGTCTTGTTGAAACGCATACCATTTCCCAATGCTGCATGAATTTTACTGTTTTTTCATGTTTATTAGGACTATGATTATACAAGCGAAAATGAGCAGGCAACAATTTTCCCCATTTGAGTGACCTTAACAGTTTAGGGAAAATCGTTTGCCTTGCCTTGATTAAATCTGTGATGACTTTTGCGCCCTTCGATTAGTCTAAAATACGAACATTTTCTTCTTAGTGCAACTTTGCGGTCAAGATTAAGATTGTGTTTAACTTATGACAGTCTCTTGCCTACTGTCGAATGCGATGGCTGTAGAGCTTGGGTTTATACGCTTGTTTTCCAGATGTTGGGATGTCTATGTTCAAGAGTGCGTAAACGAGCACAGAACCTACCTCAGTCCGAGGACGAGGGCATAGGAAAGTGAGTGCTTCAAGATAGATGCCTTAACTGAAGTGTAAGTGGATAGTCGAGAGTCTCAGAGGCTGAGCCTGAGCTTTGATGCATGATGATGACCTTGAAGTGTCCTGGAGTATTTCCGAATTATCAAATTACCCTTAGGCCAAGGAGTTTATTGGCACATACTTTGTGACAAATCCGGAGGTGGAGGAGAAAATATGGAATGGGAAATGATTCTAATTGATGAATTTATTTCATATTTTGGCAAATAAAAGGAAATGTTCACAGAGGCTTTTGGTAATATTTGATTTGATTCAATATAGGGGAGCCTATACTTCCTGACGGATGTAGGTCCCCTTTTGGAATGGAAGCACCCACCACACAGTTTTAATCCAGAACCCATTCTGTGTTATTACAATTTCCGTTACCAATGTTAATGAGTTGATTGCTTCCAGAATGACAAGCGTTTCTGCCAATATTCAACTACTAACTTCAAATAACATCAATTTCACTTTAAAAAATGAAAAAAATTAATTTTGTTGCTAAAGGTAGCAGAACTTCAACAAATATTCGCGTTGAATCGCACGATAAATTATGCCTTTCACAGTACATGTCGAATGAGACATTTTAAGGCGGTAAATCAAAGTAAGGGCTGGAAGTTGTCCGACCCCTCACCTCTCCATCCTCTCCAAGAGATGGAAGAGGGAGGACAAATCTGTCCACGCGTTCATTACAACGTCGGTTGTATTTGCCTTTCACTAATGTCATATGAATACCCTTAAAAGCCTCAAATGTCAGTTTCAAATGGGTGACGCAAAACATTTTGAATTTAATTAAATTTTGAGATGACTTCCCCTCCTTCTGGATGTAAATTAAATATGAAATTCTCACCAATGTCATGCTGCAAAAGGCTCACTTACAAAAGTCTCCAGTGTTTAAGTAAAAGAGGTACTATTTACTTATTTTACATCAAAGTTGATGCAACACTTCGATTAAGTATTTACCAACTCGTCCTGACCCTCGGCCTCCAGGCCTTTGCTGCTTTGGAAATACACGGTCATGCTTTGAGAGGTTGTCAGGAGCAATACTGGAGGCAAGTGAAGGTGTACTCGGTCCTAAAGCAAGCTATCCCGATTCCAGTGTCCGAAAGTTTAATCTCATTATGACAAGTACAACCATGACAATAGCCAAGAGACGATTTGAAACTGTTGTCTACCTTCGATAACTACGCCACTCCCATGTCCTGTGGAAATGCTATCAACAGTCCAAGCGGCATAAAGACACTGGCTAAGTGGGCAAGTGGTACCTCCTCTGCCTCCCTATTGGCTGGAAAGGCATCGATGGACGGCATTGAATAAAATCAAAGTGATATGGGGAAAAAACGATGAGAATTATTGGCTGCACTAATTAATTTCGAAATGCATCACCTGTTAAGCAAATGTCCCAGGTCAATGTCCTTATGACTAGTAATGAGCAAACCGGATGGTCGCCACATTCCCCCTCTCCAATCCATTCCCTAAAGCAAAAGGAATCAGTAGTGTCGTGGTCAGGTACTTCCTTAGTTGCGAACATGTTCGATGGCTCATTGACTTGCACGTATCACTTCACTCATTGAGGCGTAGAGCTCAACGATGGAAGTTGACGTAAGGAGTTGCCGAAAACAGGTTCGTTATTTGATTCTGGTGGGAACCCATCAAAAATAATGCCCAATTAGGTGCCACCTTTGATCAACATGATTGGAGAATAGCGGTACTACTATAGCTAGCATCGAAGTCGAGTGATGGATAACAAGCCGTTGCTTGACAATCTAAAGTGATGGATAACTGTGGCAATAGACATCAAAGAATGCAATGAAAAAAATGAATTCACCTATAGTTACTTCATTGAGTGTCTAAAGTCACTAAAGCTAGTATTCGTACTTCGAATCTCTAATGCTTTTTGAGTAAACAAACACTCAGGTCAATACTTATCCTTAAAAACATTATATGCTACTTACATCGTCAGTTTTTAAATTCCGTGGCTCGTTTGTGTGTGTGTGCAGCGGACTACAGATGGATGTTTACCAATGGCTTTTTCACCCTTCAATTTGTCGAAGGGCAAATTGCTACAATCAAGGCCTACTTCTTGTCACAACATAAATAATGGTGATTCAAGAAAGGGTCGCCCTTGCAAAACAACCACTAAATCGATCTCATTAAAGGCTTATTATAATCTTCACTCTCATTCAGATCCATATAAGACAACAGAACACGAATCCCCGCGCCAGGCTTGACAAAGAATGCCAATGCAAATATTCGTGTTGCAAAATGAAGAGTGTGGGCGGAAGGAATGGAGGAGGGAGGCGAGAGACCCTGTCTCAGCCCCTTTCGCATCTGCCACATTTGCTTGTCCGAGATTATTAACACCTTCTTGGCAGTATCGCCAGACAGTCGCATGCGAAATAACAGACAGTAGGGGAAGTAAAGGCAAAATTGAAACGAAGATGAATGGAGTTGCGGTGTTTGTGTCTGGATCTGCCACACTTCATCAAAGTGGAATCCGAGAGCTAATCTAGTAAGGAAGAAGCAAACACTAACTTCAAGCCACTAGTAATAAAAATATGTCGCTAGCTCTTTGCTGTTTGCCATATAGTAAAGAATGGCATGGAAGGATATTGTAAAACACGTCGCCTACAAGTCAAATTTATTTCTAAAGACGTTACCCATTCATGACTTCTTCGATTAAGTCAGGCGCAAACTCTTCCACGAAAGCATCTTGCGGGAGAATTGTCACTGCCATTCCCATCCCTGTTAACTCGGCCTTCGCATGTAAATCATATCTAACTTTGATGCGATATTTACAAGAATACCATGCAGAAGGCGGAAAACTACAGTCTCCTCGGGCTATCTGTAAGGTCCACATCGCTGCAGCAACACCGTTCCACCTTCCTCAATAGCTCCTCCAAGCTCCTTTCGCCTGTACAGTTTCGAAAAAAAATCATAACAAAGGTCTCTATCTTGGCATAATTCATTATGATGTAGAATCGAGGCCTAGATATTGTTGTCGTTCAACGCAACGTATATCACAGCAGCAGACTCCGATCTCACACTTCCGTTGGATGCAAAACGGTACACATTTGAAGGCTAACAATGGAAGTGAGCATGATCCCACTTTCCCCAGCTCAAAGGGAGGAATCGAAGACAAATGTAGCAAAGAACTCTGTACACTGACAACGCAATACATTCAAAAGGTTGGGACTATGAAAGTGCAGTTGGACGCGCGATATTGAGGACACTACGAGAGGGGCGGGTCAGAGAATTCCAAACTTCTAAATCGTTCAGCGTCGTAGAATCCAGCTTGAACAACACGACCATCGAAAAATCGCCCATTCAAATTGTAGACAGCTATAAAGGAATGGCGAAAGACTAAGCATAATGCAACTCACAAGGCACAAAATACGCACTTGGTATTAAAACAAACTGATTCAAGTGTATGTGCCTTCGCCGCGTTTCATGTAAGGGTGCTTGATTGAAAAACATGCCTCAACGCATAAATTACTGAGAAAAGAAAGTTTGATAAATACAGTCCCATTCATCGAACAATGTTAAATTTATCAGTAGATAAGAGATAATCCCAATGTTACGAGCGGGCGGAACGAAACCAAAACCATTGATGATAGCCGCTATAAGACGCACCAAATGGACAAGAAAGGTAAAGCTAGAAGACACCTAAGCCATTGCATTTCTTAGTAAAAAATGCAATAAAATAGCGCCAATACCTCTAGCAGCAGCTTCAGTGTTTTCGAATTCAACGAAAATCCGGACAGCTTCGGGTCCATCGCCAGCATCGGGCATTTGGTAGATCATGCAGGTGACAACTGATCCGTACTTGGCACACTCCTCTGCCGTCTCCGGCTCCAAATCATCATCCACTTCGCTTGGCCCACCGCACATATTCTGTAACAGTACCACCTACAATGGAAGTGGAATGAACGAAACTATGCACTGCTCAAATAATCTCCGACGATATCAACGCGACGCATCTTAGCCTAAAAACGGTTTGACGTAAACGCAAAGGAGAGCCGAATTTATTTTAATGAAGCTTCTACTATGTACCCCGTGTTCAGTTTTCCATTTGAGTGCCTGTGTGAGTGCTTAAGGTAATTGAAAAGAACTGTGAAACAAGGGAGGGACCACACACCAACTTGTACTACTTATGGGTCAAAGACAGTATCAACTACAAAGTACATTAAAAGGAGCTGAAAGCAGAAACTATACTGTAAGCGATTTTTTTGACCCGATTTTTTTTCAGTGTCTCTAATCTACATGCATTCGTAACGTTTCAATGCCTTCTAGTCACCTCTACGTAAAGCAATGTATAGTCTATTGCCTTAGTGACATAATAGAAGCAGTCATGTCGACCGAATTTTGTATGCAGTTAGTCCAGTTCGTTCCCGCTTTTAGGACTGGCTCGTTCAATTGCTGACTCCTATGCGAGTCTTGAGGATGCAAATTTCTGCCAAACACCAATGAGAAAATGCATTCTTGCGATGATACTTCTAAGGGAAAAGTCAAGGGCAAAGAAACCCAAGAGTATTATAAAATTTTATCAATTATGAGAATCGGTTGGTGTGGGTGACATAATCACGAGTCCATACTAACCCACATATCGTTAAAAAGGTAGTTAGTAGTTCACAAATAAGGTCGAACCAACTTTTAACAAAGATCCTCAGCGGAGGTCTGGAAAGGCGCACTGGCTACATTTGCAGTGATACCAAGCAATGCTGCAATGATTTAGCCTAAACTTAATAACAGTTAACATCTAGGCCTTTCTAAATCACAAAGTCAATAATACCTTTCAAGCGCTCCCATATCCAAAGCACAATGAATGTACTCTTGTTCAAAATGTTGAGACCATACCTCAGTAGCATTGAGTGGCATGGTTGGCATTTGCTGCTGTTCCGCACCCATCCCACCTGTAGCCGATACCATTTCTGCCTCCTGACTGCGTTGAAGGTCCTTCTCATGAATAATCTTGCCCCCACGACGGCTAGTCTTTTCAACAACCAAGGCTGATGACATCCCCTGACCCTCCTTGCCTAGGCCCTGACCTTGACGGTAGCCCATTCGAGCCATCATTTTGGCAGCGACGACGTTGCTTGAAGGCAAAAGAAGGAGGTGGATGAGACCACTCAAAGAAGCAAACATCTTTACTAAAAATGATTTATAGTTCCAATAAAGACTGCATCAAATGCCTTTTTGTGATGTAGCACCGTTTGTTTTTTCGTGAATAAAAAATGCACTCACATCAAAAATGGACTATTTTTGTGCGGCTCCCGGACACCTGTGACAGATAATAACAAAACCAGAAAAGTTGTGTTAGTGAACAGTTTTTGTTTTGTTTTTGACTGTGGTAACTCAACCACAAGTCTCACCTATGCACAAGCACAAAGGCCAAACACTGTTGAAAAATGTGGTGTATGTTTTCATTATTCATAATCACAAATGATAATCCAAAGACCAAAACTTTTATTCATCAGACAGCAAACTATAGGGTTTAGAGCAGAGGCATGTCGCTCTCTTTTTTTCTTCGCAATAAGCGAGAAAAAGACACAAAAGAAGTGCGTATATAAAGGATTAGTAAGAGTTTCTTGGATTTTCGTTGTGCTAACGGGAAAGCCGCGCTCTGTAATTACTGTTGTCCACAACGAAGTAAGTGGTCCGTACCACTAAACACTGGAGTCTCTCCTCCAATCAATTTAAATGCTCCATAAGTACTAGGCGTATTGGCTAACCAAACGCAATGGGAGTTATTAGGTTTTCTACTAACACAAATTACTAGTTCCATTCTCCGTCCAATAGGACCAGAAACATGAAAATCTAAAGGAAAACTGACATGTGGAAAACGGCAAGCGCGCTTCGCCTAGGCTTTGGAGGATGGGATATGAGTAAATACCGTCCCCGGATTATAATCAATTCAGGGGACTAAGCACAACAAAAAAAGCCCCAGAAGCCTTTACAACACTAAAATCAATAGGTGTAGGAAATTATAAGTAAAACGGTTAGGTGCGATATGAAAATACTTCGCTCCCAACAAGTGGCAGAGGACAAAAGCACTCAAATGCGTAGAAACCAAACAAGGCACTATACATTTCCCATTAATTAGCCAAGAGGTATATCAATGATCCCTACAGAATAGTGCCAAAATTATCAAGGTCTATGAAGAATCATCAAGAACGCTACATATTTTCCCGGTTTAACACGAATTGTGCAACAAAGGGTGTTTTTGAAATGAAGCAAACAAAATAGAGTTGTAGCAAAGAAACTCGTTCAGCTCATTAATCCCAAAAGAAAAGCTTTGCAGGCTTCAGTACCAAAAGCTCAAAAAAAGTGCGAAAAAATGTCAGTTGTTTTTCAGGATAAAATTCCTCCCTTTCTCTACAAGCAAGATTGAACCTCATTTGACTGAGCTTACGCAAGGTACGAAAGGTAAAGCGATAGTATAGCGACGAGCAAACGATAATGATGAGGTCCAGCAAAACGCATCCAGATATCTTGTCAAGAGGTGCTAAAATATCCTTTGAAACATTGAAAAGACGAGTTCGAAGGGAAAATCGCGTGGAGTGAAGAAGACACGAAACTATAGCTACTCGAAAGTGGGGGGTGAGTGGATTGGTAGAGGATTCACTGCAGATTGGAGTGAGTAAGTTGTGTCTTGAAGAAAGAGGGGAAAAGGGGAGGAAAACGGAAGCTAGGGTTTAAAACTGTACGATAAAACCACATTCCGTGCGTCACCAGTCCACGCTACGCCTCCTAAGTGACTCAACCGGTGGTCATGTCAAGGCTTGTATTGACAACAACCGCGATGAAGTAAGACAAGGAGAACGCCCGGTCAGTTTGAAAGAGATAACTTACATGCCATAGTTACCAGAAGTGGCCTGGGCGATGGAGTCACCAAGTTCGTCCGTATCAGCATCACCAGAAGCGATGGTGCTCCCAGCAGCAGAAGTAGTAGCCGAGTCAGAGCCTGGAGTGACGACGACATCCTCCAGGAGACTACTGGGTGGAGCAATAGCGGCTCGACTAGCTGGCGGAGGCGGAGGAGGTCGGCGCCGATGGTGCGAACGAACTCGACGACCGCGGTCGTCACGGTCATCGCCCGAGTTATCCGAACTCCCACCACTTTCGCTGCCCGAGAGGTTCGGTCGACGGCTAAATCCGTCTCCATGGGAATCCCGCACTCGATCCTGGAACCGAAAAAAAGTAATAAAATAAGAAGTGAAAACCGTTTGAACCAGTTCCACTGTTGCATCCTGAATACCAGTGGATAACTGTTACGGTTTTATCGAGTCCATTTTACATGTGACAGTCGATTCGGAATTAGTCGGCACAGATAAAAAGAAGCCCCTTAGAAATCATGTTAGTCTGTTTATATCACAGTCCACTTTAAAACTGATCTCAAGGAGGCATATAACATACGAAAAGGAGCAGCACGTTTAAACCACGCCTAAGACTTATTTATCAAAGGTAAATTGTAGTACAGACCTGTTTCCCCCTTTCGCGCACTACAGGAACGAATCTACAAGCAACCTAAAGTACAAAGTGGTTCATTAAAATCCCAAATCCCGGAACCAAAAAGCGTAAATCCTACCTAGCCGAAATGCCTAACCTTGTCTCCTTGACCAACAAGATTTTTTAATAAGCTTTGATGTAAAAGCAATACTTTGGTGACTTTTTTAAAAGCTTATGCAAAAATAGTGTCTTCTACAAAAAAAAGTGCATTTCATTTTAACTCTTGGAGGTGAAGCTAACTATCCATGCTTCCCTGATTGATAAATAACTGTGAGAGCGAAAATCAGCACCATACACTCCATTGTTTGGCCATCGAATGCAGCAAAACTCGGTTCTATGTTGTCCAGCCCAATGGTCCCTGGTACGCACAAGTTCTTTACGAAACAGCTTAACGGAAAAAAATACCAGCAACACCCTTGGAAAGAACTACACTCGGGATGATTTAACGGTGTCAAAAATGAGGGTCTGGCTAAAAAAATGGTGTATTCACAACAACGCTATTGACAGAAGTAGCAGATATGAGTTGGTTGTCATTTTCTGTATGACTCTTAACCCGTGGGCAGGAGGAGCTATCCGCTCTGCAGCTGTTACCCATTATTCGTCAGGATGGGCGTAAGCTTAACCGCTTTTGCGAAGCAAACTTCCCGTCTGACACAGGCCAGATGGCCGATCTGACAGATGCCAATTATCCTAAAAGGATGCTAATCTACTACCAGAAGCCTATGTGTGGGTGTATGAGTTCACCAAGAAGCCACTGGACAGAAGACTTCCCATCCTCCCTTTTTATTCTTTCCACACAGCACATCCACTTTGCTTAGGAAGGGAGGTAAAACCACCAAGACGATGACAGTACGACTGAAATGGAGAGGAGTTGATTCATTACAATCATAAACTGGCTGGTGTTAATAATTTAATTCAGCCAAAGGGCCAGGTCCTTGAACACGCAAAGTAACTCTAAATTTTTTGGTAAATGCTATTTACTTTGGAAACTTGATAGGTTAGTGTGACTTGCAAGTAGAATAGGGGTTGACTTTGAGTGCTTGAGAAGGAGAGTTATTGGTTTTATAAGGAAACAAAAGAGATGGACCAGTTTTAGAATGGAGGAGGTTCCAGTCTTCTCGATGCCAGCTCAAACCCTCTTTTACCAAAAAAAGCAATCGTCAACGCACTGCTGTAGCAATGAAGAAGTGAAGCTAATGAGAAAAAGAAGCAGAGAGTAATCAAACTCGACACGACTGATTCCCTGCACCACCAACCCCAGTTTTTCCCGTGAAAATAGGGTTTTAACTTGTTTAGTCAAAAGGAGACTAGACTTACATCGGTCTTGCGTTTCTCGCGTTTCTGCCTCGAAAGCTCCTCGTAATCGTTGGGACATAGAGGGTTGTACTCATCTGCAACGCCTAGAGACAAACTCGGTTCACCGTATAGCAAACCGGAGGTCACTGAAGAGGTGAAGTGGGAAGAACCGCCCATGGGACGACTGGTTGAAGAAGTGGACGATGATGACGCAGAAGTGACGCGTTCCATCTTTCCCGTCATCTGATTGAATCTAAAAAATGACAACGAAAAACGCACACAGGGTCAAGGAGGACTTCCCAAAGAGAAGGTACTGACGGTAAATAGTGACCTATTAATACAAGACGATCAGACTCTTTTCAGCCTTAATAAAAAATTGAAGCAAAAGCACAAAGAAAGGACCGCAGTGGTAGAACAATGGTACTACAAGGTGACTAGGTTCAGATGGCATTGCTTGCGAGTGCGTATATATACTACGTGATCCAATCTAGACGCCACTGATTAGGAACACAGACACCGGTGGTAGTGCGTGGGGACCTCATATTGTGCAGTCAGGCCGAAGTGTCTTGTCAAAGAGGCGAAATAAACCTAGATTCAAAGATGCCACTTTCATAGAGGACTTCAATGATCCTTTATGTGGTAATGATAGCGACGCTCCACTACAGCACAACATTTGAATGCCATGACGACCGAACGTCGATAGCAGCCGCTACCCCATATCAATTATATATATGAGCATTAAGAGCGTTGAATGTCTAGTCTTGATCGACATAGCCTACGCAGGTGCTGAAAGCTTTGTGAAGTTTCCTCTTCCAATCATCGCGGTACGTTTAAGAGACATTTATAATTAAAGCAATGTGTTGATAAGGAAGACAAGAACGTTCTGGAACACACCATCGCAAGTGGATAAGAACGCTATGTAAACCAGGATTTTAGCATGGATAACGAGGCAAGAGCCCTAGAAAATTGGAAAAAATTAATGGCTGCACCCTCTTCTGTACCGACATTCGATACTGAATGAGCGCACTGAGGTTGTAAAAGGCCACGTCGCAAATAAATCCCCAATTTGTCCTTTTGTCTGAACGATTTTCAAAGTGAAAAGGGTTAGTTTAATTCTAATACTCACTCAAACCATACGTTTCAAACATGAGGAAAGTATTTTTAAGTTTGTTAGTACCCCGCATTTATAATCACGCTAGAAAAGCACCACTTTCTCTTGAAAACAAACAGAAGTGATGCGAAGCCATAGTTTTGCGCTCCATTTGCCTAATGTTACAAAAAGTGATCATTTAGACAACCATCACGGTGGGAACAGAAGAGTTGCCTCCTAAGGGAAAAACATACATAGAAGACAATGCCGCCCTCAGAATGAAGGGAAGGGAATAAGGGAAGCGAGGGAAAACAATGAGCAGCCAAAGACCTTGGCTGCAAATCAGTGGGCGGGGGCAAGTATGAAGTCTAGTTGCAGACTTGAAGCAGCCAATTAACAGCCAAAAAATCGGTGTTTATAGATGAAAACTGCAATAATCTAACCGACATCTTGGATAGGACAGCACAAAGGGGAGCATAGCCAAATTCACGCTAGCCTCAAGGCAGCTGTCCACAATCAAAACTACTACAGTTCCTACCATTCTTTTCGAAATATTCCACTAAGATGCACCATATGACTTAAGAAAAGGGAGCCAAAGTAAATTTCCTCTCAAAAAGTCATTCGCACTATAAAAAGTCCGATTCAGGCACCGATAAAACCTTCGGTCACAGTAAGTGAAAGAAAGTGTAGATGTAGGAAGCCTCCTTGTCATACTCGATGGCACATAAAAGGCAACACAGAAGCGCTATTAGGAAACCTACTCAACCTCATTTTGAGAATACAAAGATGTTATAAACCCACCGATTAAGTTATGCCGCAGTAAAATATTACTAGAACTAGAGACCACCATACTAATAGCCCCTTAGCTCTTACGAGCGCTTGCACAGAAGGCATTTCTGCATCACGTTTAGTGAAATCATGCCTGAATTTTGCAAAAGGAAGCTACATGGTGTAGAACTATGAATGTGTGAAAACTTAGAAGGCAAGGCTACCAGTATCTTCAAAAATAACCTACGACCATTACTTAGAAACGTACTGACTGGCACGTCCGCTAGTTTAGCTAGGAAGTTAAAATTCTACAGCCGTGAGATTATCCTTAAATGTTTAAAAAGTTCAAACTAACAAAGGCTAACAGCCACAACGATGAAGGGAGTTTGCAAGTGTTGAGATGGAACTAAAGACGGAAGAATGTATGCCAACACATGCGAAAAAAACAGCCCAGCCAGAGATGTGAACAGGTAAGTAACTAACCGATAAGAGCCCTCGGCGTTGGTGGCACCACCACCCCCACCGCCGCCTCGACGATGCAGATCGACAACTGGGGCTACGGCAGATCGGGAGGCATAGTCGCTGCTGCCACCACCGCCACGCCGACCTTGAGCGCGCTTTGCCGCCATGTGAGATTGCATTAGCTGCATTCTACGGTTGAAGAGTGAAAGGGTCGCATGAAGAGAAACGGTAAGAATTAAGACTCAAGATGCATTAGGATAACTAGATGATAAAATGGAGTTGGCAAAGGCATTTCTCTGCAGCTGCATACATTAAAACCATTTAAGCAAAACAAAACGATAAAATGAACGAAAGCCCTTTCATTTAAAGCAAGAAAATAAGTTGTTGGAGCAGTGGACATTGCAATACATTTTACCCAAATCTTGAAGGATGTAGGACGGCTGAAAATAGAAGCATATTCAACTATTGTAACAGCAGTGCAAATAGCATATAGTCTATTGAACATGTGAAAACGAAAATAATTAGAGCGCTAAGATTGTAATATTTTCCAGTACAATACTACACTACAATACTACTTAAACCAACGAAGAAATGAAGCAACGCTATAGTTAATACCAAAAACGTAGGAAGGCTTATTGTGGGGAGACAGCCGTTCCATGCAATTGATTTGTAAGCCATTTCAGACAATGTCCTAAAGTCCACATGAGACGCAATACAGAAAAATTGAGCCGGACTCAAAAGGAAAGATGTGGGAATGAACTAATGTCAACAACGGAAGGTAACCCAACTTTCGCATAGTTGATTTGTGCCATGCCATTAAGGGTGGACTATTAAACAGAAAAAGGAGGAGTAAAACCCACTTGTTATCCTGCGTAAAGAGCGGAGAACTACGACAATTTCATAGAAAACGTGGAAATTAATGGAGTCAGCTGAAGGAACCTCTTCTCACCCTCTACAATATGACAGCTTGGTTGATGTGATACACAACTTTGTATGAATTGAGAGAATAACGACCTATGTGAAAACAGATGTTTACCAAACAAGCCCATAGTGGCAATTAATGAGTTCATTCATAATAACAAAGATCTCAGCTTGGTGAAATCGTAACAAACGTCTCATCCACGGTAAAAATGCAATAATATCATTTGGAATTATGACAAAAAGGATGTCATATGAAGTTTTGCTGTAGTCATGGAAGTACAACTGACCCGGAATAACCGCCTGGAGCGACAGTGTTGCCTGAAGCAGCTGCAACAAGACGGCCGATTCCAGTCGTTGTTGTCGTTGTGGAGCCAGAAGAAGCGCCGGTGGTGCCGCCAAGAACCCATCCACTTCCAGCACTACCACTGCCACCAGCATTGCTTCCCTTGCTCAATTCTACATCGTCCAGACCATCGTACAAACTGGATGTCATAACTAAAAGATGAGAAAAAGTAACATCAATGCACAGCGCCCAGATAAGTAGATGAAGCACTATCAGCTATTTAATAGCAAAACAAGTCATTTTCGAGAACCCCTTTATTTGCATACGTCAAGAGGAGTTAAAAGTATAAAAATACAATCAATGAGGGCACATGATGTGAATGTAAAAGTCCAAACGAAAAGAAAACAATAATACCTTAGACGGAGTGAGATAGAGGTGGAATTTGACGAAAATAAAAGTGGTTCACCAGTCAATAAATGGAGTTTTCAGTAAATAATCGCCCTCGAAATTGGGATCAGCTATTGAGATGACGACGAAGTATCTCCCTCAGGCTTTTGGAAGGAGTCAAGATTAGAGTCCAATTTTTCGCCCGATGATTTTCGCGAGTCAGGGAATGACATGGAGGGATCATCACTTACCGTAAATTCTGTTACTGACACCAAACGCCCAGGTGGTGGTGAACGATGAAGGCTGGAAGGCGCACTCTCAGGATCACCATTGGAAATATCGGCTGTTTGATCTCGAGCATCCACAGAAGACCGTTCTATGGATTGTAAAACCTCGGATTCCTTTTCTTCTTGCTTTTCAACAGATGAGTGCTCATTTTTGGGGTCCAAAATATTATAGCACACTGAATTACTATTCACCAAATCTGGGTCACTTGCGTCCTCCATCACATTATCTGGTTCACTCTGTTTTGCAAGTGACGGTGGCAACTCTATGTTGGGCTCTTTCGATGACTTCCCAGTGGAGGAATCAAGTTGTTGGTTTTCTATGACTGATACTTGGGGCTCATTAGGCGACATTTTTAGTTCGGTTTCGTGAGTGCTCGATGAAAGCGTCGAGTCTAGGTTCGAAACAGACCTAGCACATTTTTCCGCATAAATAGCCGATCCACTCTGTGATAATGATTTGTTGTCATTAAATTGTTCAGTAGGAAAATCGACTTGTGTGTCATGGTGCGATCCAATCACATTAGTGAGGTCGCCTGTGATGTCTTTAGATTCAGCTAAAGTAGATTGATAAAGAAGTGAAGGATCCTCTTCGTAGGTGTTATCAGAAATGTCGACTGCCTTGGATTGTAAAGACTCGAACATCACATCAGAAGACATTTGGTGAATTCCGGAGGGATCCAGCTCCTCCCCGTCCAAATTTCTATTTATTTCTTTGGTTATTTGAGTGCATTCCTCGATTTGTTCCATACACGGCTGTTTAGTAGAGGAATAGTCCTGGTGTGTAGCTGACTGAGACTCACAAGCCTCGGTATGTTCTTCGACCGAAACTGATGAAGGATTGCGTTCATGGTGAACATGAAAATTTTCAGCCGCTGAAATGTCTGTCTTTTGGAAAGATTCTGAATGCAAACTCTCAGATGCTTGTGTGTTATGATGCGAAATATCAGTTCTTTGTGAATTCAGACCAATTTCAGAAGGTTTCGAGAGCGAATCCGTAACCGCTTCATCAGACACATTGCGAAAATAGTCAATTCCATCTACCGGCACATTCACTCGAGGAGAGCTGGATTTGAAGTCCTTGCTCGAGACGAAATCCATAGTTCCCTCAGAAGGCAGTTCAATTTTATTTTCATGAACTGGTGTGTGATTAGGCTCAGTCGTATCACTAGCCTGGATTGGAATATTTACGCAGTTTTGTTGATTCAATATCAGGTTAGATGAACTCGTAGATAATACTGGAGGAGCTGCTGATTTTAAGTTATCCAGCGCAGCCGGCTGGGACACGACACCCCCTTTCATGAGGGCCTGATAAAGTCGGACATTCTCACATTCTTTCGCGGTAACTCTTTTTCCGTCTAAGACAATCTAAAGGGATTAGCACAAGCTCTTTTACGGGAAGGACACCTACCAATGGAAATCGCGGACCCAAAACATTCAACGCATTTCGTCGGTAGTAGGCATGATCACAGATCGGATTTCCCGTCAGTTCCAGGGAGTTCAAATGTGGCAGTTCACCCAAACAAACCAGCTCTTCAAACTACGAAAAACACAAATAATATCCTACTGTTGAGCAAATAAGTAGCGCATACAAAAACTTACTCACCGAATCAATCTTATTGTCCGAAAGGTCTAGATGCTGAAGGCTAAAAAGGCCTTCCACAAGATTTGCTGAGCGAAGGCCATTTTTAGCGAGTACAAGAACTTGGACCTCACCAAGGCGTTCACGAAGTGACTTCAGCGGCGTCTGACGGGATCTGGGTTGCTCCGTGGCAGAATCGATGGTGCCAGCGGAGGAGGCAAGTACAAGGCCCTCTAGAACGTCCGCCTCATCCTCGCAAACTTCGACTGAACACGGATTCGTCTCCTCACCTATGTAGAGCTGGTTGTCAGACAGGTAGAGCACTCGCAGTCGTGATAATGACGAAAGAGGTGCGAGTTCAGTGAGAAGATTGTTTGAGAGATTGAGAATCTCAACATTCGGTAGGAGAGCCTAATAGGAGCTGAACATGGTAAAAATGCTGAAAATGAACTGATTTCGTTAAAGAGACGTAAAAACTAACAATGGTTTGGTCAATAATGTGAAGAAAGTTATTAGAGAAATCGGCAATTTTAATTTGATCCCAAGGTAGAGTTGGCACTGGATTCTCCCCGTAGACCCAGTTCCCACCTCCTGCGGCAAAAAGGTCGCCCAACATAAGATTCTACAAAAAAAGAGTTAAGTCTAAAAGAATGAACACTGCTGATTTGCATAAAGCATTAGGAATTAATCGCTTTGTATGTTTCCAATTGAATGTATTCGCAATTGCGTGAAGCATTGAAGGTACGACAAGCATTGAGGAGAAGCATAAGAGCAAGGGACTATTTCTTCGCTTGGCTGCAACAATGAGATAAGCAACCTAGGCATAAATATCAGAGCAATTCACTTCACTAGCATTATAGCAGACTGTTCTGTTAAAAGGAGAAAGGAGTGTATGACTGCTCACCTTGAGGTTTTTAAGGCTGTGGTGGACAACCAATTGAATAACTGTGGCTTTTATGTGCTCAAAGCCACGCATACTTGCCAAATCCACATTGTTCAACTAAATACCACAGAATAAAGCGGCAAGTAGACAGAAGAAAGTTAAGTCTACAGGTTAACCCATTCTATCACAGGTGCAGCATTATGGAGTCAACAACGGTAATGACTAAAGAATTGAAATAAGTTCATCCATATATCATATTGCCCTGGGCCGCGATTCAGGATGGAAGTCACGGAGTACTCACACCGCCTGCAGTTGATTTAATTTCTGGAATTCCCCTCAACACTTCTAGTACTTGTGAATCCTTAAATAATCCGTGCATTTGGCATCCTCTGCATTACCTTAAAAAACCAACCTTGACTGCTTAAATTTTGTTTATTATTTAGGGCGTTGAACGTGAGTAGCGTCAAATTGGTCTCGCCAATAAATCACAAACCCTATCGTATGTCTGGTAAAAAAGTGGCGTTTGCATCAACAACAGTTAGTAATGAAGAAACAACAATAAAAAAAGGGATAACACACTTCCAAATACTCCAAACTCCTGAACGGTGACATGTCGAAAGTTAGAGCGTTTATGGCGATGTTGCTTTTGTAGATTTTTTCCAAGGATCCAAAAAGCTGGAAGACAATGGAAAGCAGCTTCAAACAAACGACACCTCGCGGTTAAAAGGCACAGTTAAGAAATGCTGATGTTAGAACTACTCTTATGTATTTCAAGAGTTTTTATCAACCTAGGTAGAAAGTGAATGAATTATTTGATTGTTCGACAGCCTAGTTTGATATAAGCGAAGCCTCATCTCCCAAACTTAGGAATAGCATCAACGTCTCCCCAACGAGAAAACAATTGTGTAGGCGGAGTGGGAGACTAATAATTTGTTTAACTCCCAGTTATAATAAGAACCATGTCAGTAAGTCTATGCCCATTCTTTAAAAGTACTGCCTTCTTTCAACTTCAAAGATGTCAGGAAGCGCTACAACACTACTTGTGCATGCATGGTGGCCAGCACATTTCCTCACCCATCCAACACATGACCGAAGGGGTTGGCTCTTAGAGCTCCACCCTAGCCCCTAGCAGTGGCCGCCCAAACCCATCTGTGTGTTGTTAATGCATTGTCTGCTCAAATACCATATCTACTCTTGATCTCAGAGAAGCTTCGATGAGCTACACTACTGCCATTTGTTTGTCAAAGCAATTTTGATTGACACCTGCCCTCATGTGCCCATGAAGATTGGTATTAATAAATACTGGGCTCCTCAAAAAAATTCGCACAAAACAAAACTTACAACCCAAATAAAACATAAAATGAAAGTCAGAAATCAAAAGCGAGAATATACCTTGAGGCGTTTTATTTGAGCAATGAATTTCACTACGCAGCCAAAATCCTCGTCGGCTCTGTTGAAAACTAGAGAAGCAGGAAAAGAAATCAAAACAGTTTGGCAGACAATTTCACATAAAGCTGGGAAGAGGAAAAAAACTGATCTCCACAAATGATAAGGAAACACACAATAACCATCTAACCAGTCAAGTCTTAAGCAGCAAGGCTAATTATAATTTCCTAGGTTAGCGAAAAAGCTTCCTAACAAGCAGGTTAACTTGCCCGCACTTCGGGGTGTGGAAGTGGAGACATTTAGAGTTCACAATTAAGTAAACAAGTGATTAAAAACAAAGTGCCGTGCAGCAATATTGATGCGTGTAATTGGAGAGCATAAGGTAAGGCTTTATGGTTCACCCCAATCTACAAGAAGTGGTCTATACGAAGTGCCGAAGTTTAGACAAGAAAACTCGGCAAGTTACGTGGTTGACGCATTACACACGCATTGACAGCATACCAATCAAATACACCCACCAGTCATAAAAGCGCAGCGGTGAGAGGACTTGGGATAGAGTAGAACAAATGTGCTTACGACTGCTTGCTTTATCTACTACAAAACGAGCATTTCATTATTTTTCGGTAGATGGCTGGGTAACAACTTACGATTCTCCGAGACCGGTGACTTCATGCGCTGGTTGATTGCGCTCACTTGATACACGTTCATGACAAAGACCTCTCCTGAGCTCAATATCTTTTCCCCTAAAGATGAAGATGTAAAGAAGAGAGGTCGTTAAAACTCCCAACAACAAACCAACAGGTTGACATTCAAATACATTCCGGGAATTAGTCAACTTGATAGAGCGCATCTTTGCGCTGCAAATACACGAACAACCTTGGGCAAGGCGATGCCAACAAAGTAGGCGGTGGAAAAAAGATTGGTATTTGCATAAATTCATTCATTTACAGCGCTGTATGAACAAAAAAGGAGTGAATGAAAATTCTCTACCTGTTCCGTAAGATTAATGATGTGTGGAAGTAAGGGCTAATGTAGGGAGACAACCATAGCCCCAAACCCTTGACAGACGTACCTACAAGTTCGGCTCCAAAGATACGCATCCGTAACAAAGGCTTGAGAGACGGGAAATTTAAGGCTACGCGATTTGCCATTTAGTGTACAGATGAGATATGTATGAAACTAATGGAAAACATCATAGCGATATTCAGAAATAAATTCTTTTACGTGTGAAACGGTTTCGCATACTGTGGGAGGAAAAGAAAGCAAGATTCCATACAAGTGTTGAAATCAGGAGGGAATATTAGCATAAACAGGCGACAAAACTTTAAGGAGAAATGTTCACTGAGGCATTTATGCGGCGTTCTACACCACACCCCTGATTCTAAACCGCTAAACCCCACAGTCAGAAAGTGGGAACACTTTTACCAACTTAAGGTATAAAGCATAAAGGATGTGTTAAAAAACCAAAGGAGCGGCAACAATTCCATTCATTTATCGTTATTAGAAAAAGAAATGAAACGGCCGGACAAGCAAGACCGCGAAAAATGATGATTGATGGGATGGGGGCTGGCGGAGGGCCAAAAATTTCTAGCGAGGTAGCCAACAATGCTTGGACAGTGGGAAAAGCCAAAATGATGTAATGCGAAACATCTATCATGAAGGGAGAGAAGTACCAAAAACCGTCTTTCACGCACGTAAAGCTGCCTGCGGCGTTTTAGATGAAAATGTTACGACTCATTATCCCTCCTCCTCAACCAACATCATCACCACCATCACTCAGTCTTCCTCTTGCCTCTCGCCATGCAAAAAAGCAACAATGGGCTTTTGTCTCCTTCCCTCCTTTTCGCCCAAAGACTTTAGGCAACCTGTTTTTAAGGCTGAAAGGAGTAGAAAAACGACCAATAATTGCCAGTTGTCGGTGAGACAGTAGTTATGGGAGAGCAATTGAGAGGAAAATTACCATCAATAGCTGCACAAACACATTTAAAATTTAGTAAATGATTGCTGGATACAAAAAATGAGTGCGATACATTAATCATTTAAGTCCTGATTTTGGCTAGGCAACACTTTGCAGCTTCAGCAGTATCCTTGTTGCCAGGCGGCCTAGCCGCCAAGCAAAGACAACAGCTTCAAGCATTCCCGGACGTCAAGAATACACATTCTGCCAGATTAGTATACTTGCTTTTGCTGCACCAGTAGCAGCGGAAAGTAAATCCGACCCCAAAGAACGACTTTTCATTTTCCACCAATGAATGATAGATCTCAATATGACAAAAAGGCATATGCCACACATTAGCGAAGTCGGAGAAATTTCAAAATTAATCCACATCTTCCACAACTACCAACCATCATGTTCCGTAGGATTGCTACAAACGACCGTAAACCGTTAAGAAAGGCCCGACGCAAAGCTGGTTACTGTACCTTACAAGTGAGTAAACACTCAATGTTCCACCTCCATCTTCCTGCTAGCTAAATGGAACCGAAATAAGTTAATTGAAAATAAAGGAAAGGCACAAAAACATAGCTGCTTGGTTTTAGATCAATGCTTCTAGAACCAGCAAAAAAAGTGCGCCATGGCACCTATAGCCACTCAACGTACAAAAAGAAGGCTCAGATCTTGTGAAATTGTGATGAGAGATCAGCGACAATGTGATTAGACACTGTAAATGCGATAAATGACACGGACAGCTCATCCATTTTACAGAGCCCACTGTTTTGTGGCTGACAGAGATACCCAGCTAAAGGAAACGGCGATTACGACGCTGAAGAGAAAAGCCCTAGTAAAGGATCAATTTTGAATTTTCGACAATTTACCCTCGCCGAGTGGCTGGTCTCCTTGGCCATTCAGTAGTCGGCAAGCCTTAATGTACGCTAACATAACCCCTCGGGCTTTATTTTCTTCTGCCTCTAGAAAAACCCCAAAGGGTGCAAGAATGTGTGCGCGCTCCCAGCCATGCGTTTTTAAGAGAACTTCGTAACAGGATTAATCTGAGCTTGGTGTTACTACAGTGCAAAAGTAAAAAGTGTCCAATTTATGTTCCCTACCACCCTCTGCAAGGCTATGGGGAACAATGCTATGCGACTGCAGCGTTATTAGCCGAAATTGGAAGGCAAAGCGAATATAACGCATGCTTTGGTTGCATTATAGAAAGTGATGAAGAAATAGTCGTGTCACAGCAACTGTTCCACTGAGAATTAAACAAACATAAGCTGGTGGAGGAAATATCTTAGAAGTCTGCAGCAAACTTTCTACTCACTAGGCGTAGATTTCCTTCGATTCCATTTTCAACCCCACTTTTCATCACAATTTCACAAAATCAGAGCAGCAGTCGCGAAAGCTAGAACTGTCAAAAATGATCCACTAATTTTAGACATGGAAAGTGAATTTTTCGCCATGACCAGTGACAAAAGTTGGTTGCACTGTTTCAAAATTGAGTCAGGTGCAAAAAAGTTCACACACGATGGAATGCAACTTCTCTCGTTGCAGATTCAAAGATTTCCAACTCAATGAAACAATCCATTCTACTAGCCCAAAATGGATAGACATTCCTCCATCCCTTTCTCATATGAATATGGGGCTATGCAAAAAAAAATATTTGCTAAGCTCACTATTACCATCATTTCATTTGCGAACAATTCAACAGCAGAAATCGACAAATTGGCAAATACCAATACAATGTACATCATTTTAGCTGATATTGTCAATTGTACGTCTTCAACCCCCCAAGCAAAATCTAGTGCCTACAAGTGAAGTGTATTCCTTGTTTACAAATCCGGTCATTACAACTTTCCTGAACAGACTGAGCACACTTGTGTGCAGAAAATTGATGCTTGTAGGATAGTGACCTCAGTTTTCAAATTTTTTATGCATTGGATCAGTTGATTCCAAAGGTTAATGACAAACAGTGTCACGTCAGAGCACCTAAGCTGTTGTAACGCCCTTCCCTCTGAGACCGACAATATTAATTCAATAAGCACTCTGATATTAAGTTGAGCTTTAAAACAATGATACGCTAATTACATTATTAGCATAAGATACAAGTTTGCTTACCATCCTTTGACAATTGTCGAGCCAGTGAATTTGTTATCCCATGAACGTCCTAAAAGAGGAAGGATTTGGTCCTCTCAGATTATACATAAAGTGTGTTAGGCGTTGTTTCCACTTCCTCCGAATCCCCACCCCAGCGCCTTTCTTAGTTATGGAGGCGAGCAGTTGTCTGATTTTTGAATGAGCATACCTCACTGAATTCGGGTTAGGAGCAAAAGCAAAAATCACGCATTCACTCACATACCTACGAATAGTTTTCCCTTACTTTGATGTTAGTTACAAACCTGTGAAATTGAACTACAAGTACGTGAGTACGTGGGCGTGTATACGAGCGCAATTTGAATGAGAACTAATGTGCTGCTCCTCGCATTACGCAAACATTTCCTCAGGATTAGTCATTCGATTTGGAGAGCTATGCTCGAGGAGAGGAGAAGAGTAGTTGAGTAATAAGTCACACCAAATGGATAAAACGACCAGTGGTAAGGAGGATAACCACGATTCAATAAATATAGAATCATAAAAGGGAAAATGCTAAATGCAGTGATAGAAGTCCATGTTTTTTTAGGCTTCGATTTCGCATATTCCTTCAGAAATGTTCATCCGTAGACGCGGTGTAGCCTTATTTCCTAATACGTACGTGACCAAGAAATGGTTTTGCCACCGGCAACGAAAAATATGCTAACATCCTCATAAATACTCCTTGATATCGACATCACATGCCTACGAAGCGATGATTATAAAGCATAAACCCGGAAATCACATGAGTCAGTAGTTCGTAATGAGTTAAAGATAGACGATTGCACGATAGGCCATGCATAATCGGAATAGTTGGAGTTCAAATTGCTGCTTATGATAGAAAGATAGTCCAGCTTGCCTAGTTTTTGGGCGGTGTTCAAATGGGCCTGGAAACTGCGGAGACAGATTTGACCCCATTGAGGAGGGTAGATTCAAATTATACAGAATTCTCGGGCAAGAAAGAGAAAAGGTCGAAAATAATGTGAAACCTACGTATCTTTCCCAATCAATGAAGCTGGCAAGAGGTGGCGGAGGAAGGGTGTAGTACGAGAGAAGCCTGTTGAGATACTCTTCCAATTCAAGACTTCGCTGCTGTACAAACGCTGGGGAGAGGTTGTTGAAAAACTTTTTGCCCGGCAACGTAGCTACCTGATCTTGTGCCAGATCGTACTTCGACTGTAACTACGAAAAAAAATGGCGAAATAAACTTTAAGAGCATCCTTGCAGGCGATATGTTGAATAAGTGCCACCAGATATCACACAATGGCAAATTTAGAAAAACTGATACATGAGTGTTCCCGGTGGTGACTATCCGAATTTTCCCAACGCAGATCAGCTGCACTCATCAGCTTCAATCCTCACAACTAAGAAAACTGCTCCATCTTTGGTGATAATGAATGAGCTGTGATACTGGACCCCACAGCCTCATTATAATTCTTCGATACTTAAAATAGTTTCAAGAAGCGGTAGTCTAGGCTAGCAATAGTCTAGGAGTGATCGAGTTCAAGACATTCCCCTTACGGCCTGTAGAATGAGTTAGCTAAGCCAACTGGATGAACAACGGCAGAGATGTCAAGTAGGCACACATCACAGAAAACGAACCCGCACAAGGGTGCGCCTGCTGTCTGAATAGTCGAATGTTTGCACACATCAATGATTCAGCCGGCCACAGAAGACGCCATTAACTCATGAGTGTACAGAGCCTTCTCCAACGTGTTGTGCAAAGAAACATGGAAGTATGGAATTTGAAACATTAAAACTAATGCCCCAACTCAGATTATGGCACAAAGTAACCTATGTGCAAGATCTGAATCGCCTCATAAATGCGTCAGGACCAAGCGACGCGGCGATAACGTTTTATGCTTCCTATCAAATAGAATACGATGCACTAAGGCCAACTCCCAGGCATTGAGAGACTTTGTCATAAGTCGGATAGTTAAGTTTATGGGTATTAGACCATCCCTCTCGTATTAAACAATGTCAAGTCCATGGTCCAAAAACAGCATTAATTTCCTCTGTTAAATTAACTTCTCCTCACAATTTCCAGCCATTTCTAGCTGCATGAATAAACTGTTAAAAAAAGTAGAAAACAGTCGCCAAGAGTTTGGACAAACTGAATCCCAGGAAAACAAAAACACAAAAAGCTTTATCGTAGCATTTTGAAGGCAATAGGTTCACTGGGCAAAAGGGACGAACTTACGACCTTTTGAAGAACCCTGAACTCCCGATATCTCCTTGTGACACACCACGTGTAGCCTTTTGGATGCTTCAGCTGAATGTCATACTCCTAGAGACAGGATAAAATAAAATAGACCCGCCCATTTTTAGGTAACGGGGATGCCAAGCATATCGAACATGCAAAGACGTCTTCTGGTGAAATCGTGGACCGTGATGCAGATATGAGTGATAATAAGCAATTTAGTAAGATGAGATGGACAGTAAACAGTGCCAAAAAGCGCATGAAAAGTGTCTATCCAAAGCTAACGTAAACTAAGCTGAATGGCACGCCGTGATTACATGACGGTATACGAAGGCCATGCATTTGGATAACGCAATCAGTTCAGCACGAAATGTCACCCAGCTGGGTTTGTGGTATGTCGAGATTCGGGTTGAAAGGATAGTAAACGTTCAGGCGCGGCGGGCGGCGACTATACATTTGCCACTTGGAAGTTTCAATCATTGAACTGCGCATTTCATGATGTATCATATACATATTGTAATGAAAGTCCTTCATCGAAACCTCTCAGAAAAAATTAGCAGAGACCGAGGCTACTCCCTTTATTAGTCTTAAAACTACTCAAGAATTGCCCCTGTACTTTTAAACGTCATTAAAACTTTAAAGTTCAAAATTGTCAGTAGATCAAGCTGAACGAAGGTCTTATTTCAATGAAAGGAAGTGCAAGTGAATGAGAGAATTTTCTCCATCAAATGATGATGTAAGGGCAGTATTTGTTCAGAGAGAATAAAAGAGATTTAAAGAGTGCTGGATTAAGAACATGCTTAAAATAATCTGAGTTGCATACCACATGATCGCTTAGCATGCATCTCTGAATAGCTGCTGAAAGACAGCCATATCCCAGTTTCACCGTTCCGTCTTCGTTGAAGACAACACCAGCTGGAATCGAGTCGTTTTGAAGGCAATCAACCATAAAATACTCTGTGAAATGGGAAAATATATTAATGATCGGGCCAAATCACGACAGATAACCCGGGTGTCAGTTCGAAACAAGTGTGGGAAAGCCCAGAAGCGATGTTGCCTGGTAAAACTTTGAGCGCACACACACACGCAAAAAACACGAACATCAAACAACTGTAGCTGTAAGTTGGGATGTCGTGATTTAGCTAATTATAAAGCACTTTAAAATTACAACCGTAACACAGACGCTCAAAATCAAAAGCGAGAGGGCGAACACTGATAAAAATGCATTTCTGCTTGCCTTACAAGGCAATATGCCGATCACGGTGGACTATTCGCTTTCCACCTGATTCTCTTTTGGGTCACCTAGGAATAGGAAACAGTAGGGCGAAAATAGGGGGAATTGAAGCGGGACAGGAGACTGGAAACGGCGGAAAATGAGGCTTTCATTACATTAAAAAAGAAACTAGAAAATAAAATGCGGAAGAGGTTGTCCGAGGGCGAAGGGCGGTGAGAAGGAGTGGAAGGATAGACTGCATTCGGATGAACGTAGTGGAAAGAAGTGTGGAAGAGGTATTTCACACGGCTATGTACACAGAGGTGAGTGCACTACGGAGAGCCATCAAACCGAGATCTCAAAAGTTCCATCTGGAGCCTCTTCAGAGGAAATAATGGCAGAGTTGCCTCTCGGAGGCTGTTGAGCGAAGTGATACTCACGTAGAGTTTGTGGCTGCTGAGAAGCAAAGTAGCCCTCGCTGGTCACAGGTGCACTGTAACCTGGCTGTCTAGGTGTGTAATGATGCAGACGCTTGTCTCTCGAAGGGTTGCGGGAATTTGTCGATTGAGTTGCATTCGGTGCTTGTTTGACGGGATACTTTGGCAAAACAGTGCCACCAGTATAGGCGGATGCGGGGATGTTTTGCGGCTGTTGTTGTTGCGGCTGCTGCAGCCTGTGGCGGGACGGCTCTTCAATGGCCTTGAGACGGGAAGATGAGGAGGGAGGGACGTTGGCAGTTTTCGGTACCACTAAGGTTGGCTGGCGGAGCTTGGAGATGGAAGAAGAGCGACTAGGCAAGTGGGGAGGCACAAGGGGCGCATTGGGTTGCATCGAATACACAACCGATGCATTATAATCCATTGGACTTCTGGACGTTTGATGACCTGCCTGGATTGGGCGATCCTCTGCCAAATGCTTGCAGGAGAATATTCTTCCGGTGGACTCCCCAGGATTAACCCCAGTAGGTTTGTCCGGGGCCCGATAGGAAAATCCAACTGGCAAGTTATCAGGAAAAGAGACACTGCCTGCCTGATAATTCGCACTAGGGTATTGAGAATCATCCCTCTTGTCAGTCAACGAAAAACTCTGAACTTGTGCCAAAGAAGTTTCTTCATTGTTTAGACGTAGAAGGAGATCCTTTGGCGAAGCATTAGTATCGCCATCTAGTCGGTTACCCAATTCAGACATGAGTATTGGTGGTTGAGGATCCGAAGTGTTTGGTCGTACACCGCTTGAATATGTGTTTACCCTCTATAAACGCAGGTAAGCATAAACGAAACATACCCCATTCACGCCCTTCGTTCGCGAGTTCTTGTTTGACCGCCGCATTTTTTGGCGATACTTGGCTTGCAGGCTAAGTTGCATGGCTGCACCGGTGACAGGTTTCCGTATAAGACTAGAAGATGTAACAAATGAGAAATAGTGCTCACATAGCACCGAGCGGTCTACAACACATAAAAACACAATTGCTGCATGGCCCACGATCAAATGGACTGTGATTGTCACCATATTTAGAAGTAACCTACAAAAAGTCGCACAGTTAATTTTCAAAATAACGTCAGCAGCTACAGATCGTAAAAAGAATTACTTGCTCATTTGTTGTGAGGCCATTGAAAACAAGGTATATGTGGAATCCAGTTAGTCCGACAACTGGGATGAAGATGAGACCCACAAGAATGAGAATAACATTCCTACAAGAATTATACTTAACACCAAACATACGCTATAATGCCTTCCGTAGTCATCAGATTTTGTTGTCGTTCCAGAACAAATAGCAACGAGACAGTAAATGTCATTATCATATGAAAAGTGAGCGAAAGTAAGAAGAGGAAAAAAAATCGGTAATTTCGCCTTCCAATGCAATTGTTAACCCAAGGACAATGGTGATCGAACGTCTAAAACATTCAATGATAACGTAGCAAACCCTACATCTATACAATGCTTGCAGATAGAACAATGGGAGCAACGAGGTAGCCGATATATCTCACAGGTAACACACCACTTCAGGCGGGTAGAAACGCCATTAATCTGTACAGTTTTATACATAAGCGGTCGTGGCGGAGAAGTTTTGTCATTGCTCATAACCTTTTCACCGGGCACGCCTATTTGAATGATAGGTGAACCGGAAGGCAAACCTCTAGGTAAATATCCGGGATCCATAAAAGTCGCACGAGCAAAATTCGAAATGACATAAAAAAGTAAAATAAATTGAAGAATTATAATGATATAGCCATGGGTTTGGCTGAACTCCCAGCAGCTAAAGGTATCTCAAGGATACAAGACAAACATACACAAAAATAAGGTATAAGGCGGATATGGCGAGAAGAAGGAACCAAGAAACCAGGGCAGGGCCTATGTTTCTGGAAAAGAACGTACGACATCCCATTATACCTCCCTAACACACGCAGGTACTATTTCATTTTGTACTAGACTTTCATCTACGGCGCGCAGTTCATATCAGGCAGACAAATAATCTTATGGCAAAAAAGACCAATAGTCACGCATCTACTTAATGTACCAAAATTTCAACTTGTAAAGGTTTTATTCATTTTTAAACTACAAACCTGCAATATTGGGTGACGTTTTAAACAAGGCTACTCTAAATCCATTATAGTTGCAATTATGCAATGCGCTTTAAGTACTAGACCTCTTAGGTCCAGAAAACCCCATTTGAACACCAATTTATAAGTACAGAAAACTAAAAATACCAATGATGCGACTCGGAGCACCGACTTGACAACTGAACTTTAGGGACGCAGTCAAACCTGAGCGCGAATGCTAGATACGAACTTAGGCAACTTTACCAACCTTAATCTTTAGAATCTTCAGTACCTGTTGATGTGGTTCTAATGCACATGCAATTAGTTTGGGATAATTGATACAGAGTGCTGTGTATTTGGCCACCAGTACGAAGGCAAGAATATTCTCTTCGACCGCATTGACCGACCTTCGGGACATATCGAAGTTTCAGGTATTTCAGGTACTCAGTCAAGTCCAGCGCCTTCCCTTCCACATTCGGAAGCATTGTCATTTTCGCAGGTCCTAGAGCTAAACCTACCGAACTCAATTTCGGAGTTCTGTTTTGATTTTCCTCATCTTCACTTGTAGCATCCTAAGACTTCCCACAGGGTAGAAGGAAGCATTAGTTGGAGCTGAATACATGCATTCCAGAGACAACGAAGGGATCAGACCTGAGCTTGGCTTGAAGACCAGCTCTTGCTTACAAGGACCAGGCGAATTCTAAAGTAACAGCTTGACATAGGAGGTCACATAAACAAAGTATTACATCACATATCTTGTGCATAATGGTCTACTTAAATGGCTGGACATGCGCTGACTATTATTTATGAGACAGTTTGTCCTTCTGCGTACAATGTAATTAGCGAATAGTCGGGTGGTATGGGTAGATTCGTCTTTCATTACCTTAAGATGAAAACGTTTCTTCATCTATCTATTCCGATTCGGTGCATACATCGCATTGTTACTTTCCAAGCATTATTATCTGGATTCTTATTCATAAAACTTTTACGTAAAAGGATACACATAGGTTTAACTACTAAAAGAGCCATTCACTGCATTCACCTATAGCTGCAATCGTGTGACGACCTCAAAGTAAAACACAAGTTCATGTTAAGCGTTGTTTGATTAGCCCTTCAAATTGACTGGCCTTTAATAGCTGCAGAAAATCTTTAAGACCGCGCACCTTAATACTGATTCACGGTGTCGTGTCTGCATTAGGTCGGCTTGGATTTTCTACTAACATTTAAATCAACTTTTGGATGCGAGTTTTGTTTTTGCTTATTGTGTTTATTTTGGGGTTGCGCTGTGAACAGTGGATGAAGAACATGGCAGTTTGTTCTCTGATGATGAATTTAGCTTTGAGTATGGGTTTTAATGTTTGCCATAGTTAAGTAGACTCAGGTTGAATGCTATGCCTCTGTAACGGATGACCCACGCCTACGCTTTATTTCGTTAACTAAATGAGGTATGCTGGATTTTGGTCGAAATATTTTAGTGACTGTAGGATTCTCGGTATAAAAGACAGCTTCGATCAAGACGATTTAGATAAAAAGCTATTCCTACGGCAAGCCCTTCACTTTTGCATAAAAGTCTGCTCATTTCCTTGAGATTTATTTTACTTTCTTACTTAGTGTTTCTGGTTGAACTGCTAGTAGCAAGGCCCTCCTTTGAAGAAGATAGTTTTGAAAAGATCCCTTTTGCTGCATCCTTTCTTTGTTCCTCCTTGAGTCCCAGTGTGCTAGTTTAATTATCAGTCTGACGGAAACAGCCTCAGATGTTTTGGACATACGATGCGCAAATACTTGAAGTTTGCCTTTTTAAGTACGATTCCTTATGGGAGAAGAAACTCATGGGGTATTCCTTTGTCCTACGTTGTTGCCCATTCCTTGTGTCACTAATAGAGCCTTGTTTGACATCCTACAAAGTGGCAGCGCTGTGACTGGTTTGTTATTTTTTGTGCCAAATCTGGAATGTTTTTGCTCTCTAATTCCGACAGATGATAGAGTAACTTCTTCTTCTTCTTCGTAAAACGTAGAGTAAGAGGTGCAGAAACGTTGGATGGACGCCTGTACCAGAGTGGCCTAGAACAGCAACCAAGCAATGCCATACTTTGCTAGGGAAAAAAATGCAAAAGTTGGTACTCATTAAGACCCCTCCTCTATTGCTGTACTGTCTTAGTCGCATTTGCAAATCTAGTGTCTCCACCTGCCAATAACGACAGTTTCATGAGGAGCCTAACGTTTAGATGAAAAGTCGCTTACGAGACTTTTAATAGTATCATCAGTTCATTCCGACAATTGATACCGAGACGGTAGAATAAGTTGTTCGTTTGACTGACCGAACAAATTCCATCCTTCCATGCACATGGAATTTCACAACATCTCTTCAATAGCCCTGAAATCACCGTCTATTTATTCACCAATTGAAAGTTTCAAGTAGTCTATGTTGATTTAAGTCTACATTATTAATCTAACCATGTCCTAAACTAGCTCATGAACTTCCCTTCTGCATGCATTCACTTCAAAGTCATAACGTGAACCGACTGTCAGACAGGCGCGTCTAGGGACCCACAGTTTGCTGGGTGGTGGTCTTGGCTTACAGAACTGCTGCCTCAACCCTCATCAAGCATATCAACCGCATTCAGCTTTCAAACCACTTACTGAAGTCAGCTTCTGTCTGCCCTATCCTCCGCCAAATATGCACCTTAACGCAAGCATTACTGACGCTCCATCTACCCAAGATCAAGACGAGTGGAAGAAGATAAAAGTTATTTCCAAGATCTCTACACACACATTCATAAAAACTATTCCAGTGTGATGACAGACGGTGTGAATCACCAACAGTTCCATCAGCAAATGTAAAATGGCTCTTTTTAGCCATGAGACAGGAGAGAGTGTAGCACAGTCCCTGTGAACAGAAAGGGAGGAAAACCGCATTTTGGAGATTGTCAATCATATTTTATTTGACGCGTTTTGATGTCTAAAATCACTTATTAGTAAAGGTGGGATTATAAGAGAGGAGGAAAGAGACCCAACATAGTGTTTTTTTCTTTTGAACTCTCAATGGATGACAAAAAGGACAGAGGTGTGGTGACAGGACGCCTACTGACGTGCCCCTAAGTTCCACTCAGACTCGGCCTGTCGCGTGGAAGTTCAAATTGCCGCAACTTCTCCAGGACTGTTTGAACGAAAGCCTAAAAGACAGGAAGGTAATTTGATTTATAACCTTTTTTATGCAGTACTGTTATTTGGTTTCGGGTGAGGGACCGCCTCACGAAGACACAAGATACTACTTCCTTTGTTCCGATCGCTAATAAAAGTTAAAAAAGAAAATTGGTAGTCCACATTTTAAGAGCATCAGATTTTCCATTCTGCTGCCACGAAAGAAGCTTGCATTCTTTTTTCTTAAATAAACAAAACTTATTCTTGGTCTTGTTGCTCTGCTTTCGCTTCAACTCCCAAGGCCCACTGAAATGGCGTCTCAGCCTCTCGCCTGTAGGTCCCACCGCATCTCAAGAGACCATTGCCGAGAGCATTCCACTCCGCCTAGTCTACTCTGTCATTGTTTAAGGAGAACGTCAGCAGAAATATTTAGTAACTAATGCATTTGGCGATAGTAAAGTCATTTCCATTATTTAAGGAGGAATTTAATTTCACTTTCAACCGTAAATTTATGAGACAGAGATAGATAGGAGGGAGGTTGAATGAAATTCTATTATTGCCCACGGAGTGGTCTTATTATCGTCACATTAGCAATCCTGCTACGAGCGGCGGACTTTATAGACTGACTGTCGACACCAGCTCCAGACGTGAAGCAATTAAACGTAAGCTTTCAGTCCTCCAGTCCCGTATCAGTGATGTGAACCAGTCAAATCCAGGAGCTGTGTAACAATGAAACGAAATGAACATTTCCAAAGCAGAGCCGAAAGGAAGTTTAAATGCTCATGGGGTCCTAAACCTATCGCAGTGGTTACAAAAAAAGGTCCGAAACAAATGCCACTAAAGGTCGCAAAAGCATGCGCCCTGGACTTGCAAAAGTACATGCAGAGAGAGGAATTAATTTGCGCATCTGGTGCAGGAATCGTGATGAAGGGAACTGTGGAAGGAGGAGGGGGGGAGAGGAAGACGCGGGTAGGACGAGCGCCATCAGAAGTTCGTATGGTGTGACATGGGAATTCCTACAACATACCGATCCAACTTCTGCAGGATTAGAGCAGCCAAAAAAATGGGCAGGATAGTTGTACAAAACGGTTAATTGTGCTTGTAGTTTTTTTTTTTTTAAGTAGCCAACTGAATCACCACTTAGTAGGCTGGTAATAAAAACCCACCCTGGGGGAGAACAAGCGGCATTTCACTCGTCAACCACTCACTCCGATAACATCAAAGTTGCGTTAAAAAAGAATTCAACACTATATTTGGTCTTTTCAAAGGCATCCATGAATGGAGGAATTTCTAAAATACACAAGACCACCGAACGGACATGAAAAATGATGAAATTAAGGCACGCAGACATGGCAGTTCTGCTTACCAAAGGAAGTGTTCACCCACTAAAGCCCCTCTCCCCCCACTCTGCCTCAGTGTTGTAAGTGAACGGCATATGCAATAGATATTATTAAAGCTGCCGATTAAGAACGGAGATAAGTCGCAGTCTAGACGGATACGACTGGTGGAAAAGACTGCCTTTGGCTAACGGAAGAGGAAATAGAATTTGAAAGATCTAACTAGAAAGGAAAAAATGTTTATGCTAGCGTCCGTTAAATTTGAGTTATAGCGGCACGATTGCATTCGTCTTCTCGCGTTTTCACTGCTCACCACCAAAACTCACCCTCACCAAAGAAGACCGCCTCCTCTTGCTCCACATCCGAGG